ATCCTGCCCATTCTCCTCGGCTCAGGGATCATGCAAATCAGGGTCCTCTCGCGGTTCGAGGAGAAGCATGCCGGCGCGTATGCCCAAGCTGTCGGTATCACCGTCGAGTCCGTCAACTCTATCAAGACCGTGGCCACCCTGTCGCTTGAGCATGAAGTGCTGGGTCAGTACAAGCGTGCTCTCAGGGGCCCAAAGAGGGAAATCATCTCGGCCAGCGCCATCGCTAATATCTGGCTCGCTGTCGCAAACAGCACAGGCAACATCATCTATGCGTTTGCGTACTGGTGGGGCTCGAAGCAGATTGTCGAGGGCCGCGCGACCCAGACACAGTTTCTGATCATCCTCGTCGCGATGCTCGTGGGAGCGCAGCTCTGGGGACAGATGTTCAGTCTCGCACCCGAAGTGACACGCGCTCGCATGGCCGCGTCGAGAATCTTCAGCCTCCTCGATCTGGATAAGTCGGAAACCGACCCGTCAAGCAAGACCGGAGATTCTAAGGGAAAGGAGAAGGACGTTGAAGCCCTCGCCAACCCCTCGCCACGCCCGTCGCCGGGGAAGGGAGGCGTGTCAATCACCTTCAAGAACGTATCGTTTTCCTATCCTGCCCGCCCCGAAGTCCAGATCCTCGACAACTTGAGCGTCACGATCCAACCAGGACAGTTCTGTGGCCTCGTGGGTCCCTCAGGTTCAGGCAAATCAACCGTCATGTCCATAGTCCAACGAATGTACACTCCCTCAAGCGGCACGGTCGAGATAGACGGCCAGGACATCTCAAAGTTCACCACTACCTCCTTCCGCGACGACATCGCCGTCGTACCCCAAGACAGCGCCCTCTTCGACGGCTCCGTGAAATTCAACGTCTCCCTCGGCGCCCGCCCTGGTCAAGATGCCTCCGACGCCGAGATAATCGAGGCCTGTCGCCTTGCAAACATCCACGACACCATCGTCGCCCTCCCGCAGGGCTACGACACCGAGTGTGGCCCTAACGGCTCCCAGCTCTCGGGTGGCCAGCGGCAGCGCATCGCCATCGCGAGGGCGCTGGTACGGAAGCCCCGCCTGCTGCTCCTGGACGAGAGCACGAGCGCGCTCGACGCCGAGAGCGAGAAGGCGCTGCAGGAGGGCCTGGAGCGCGCGGCCCGCGGCATCACCGTCATCGCCATCGCCCACAGGCTGCACACGGTTCGCAAGGCGGACGTCATCTTCGTCGTGGAGGCTGGTGCCGTTGCCGCCAAGGGTCGGCACGAGGAGCTGATGGAGAAGAGCGAGAGCTATCGTCTGAACGCCATGCAGCAGATGCTGGGCCACTGAATTGCTGCTCCTTCTTTCGGATTTGGGGTGTCTATTGGTCTGTATTGGTCTGTCCGGAGTTCGTATGCATTTACCAGGTGTAATTTAGCTACATTTTAGGAGTTTTTACGAGGCGATTGTTGAGACGAAAGATCGGGTGCATAAATACAAACGTCAGCTTGCGATCTGTTCCCGACCTGCCTCAAATTTTGGTCTCTTCTAGACCCGGGTTTTTGCACATGTCCGTCTCCGCGACCGATCCTTCTTGGAATCATCATGCATAGATCCCGGGACCGAAGTTGCTGGCGGGTTCGCGGGCTTCTGTGAATCACCGCATGGGTCAGACGAGCTCTTTGACCATCAGGGGCTGCAGGTAGGCTGATGCGTTTACTAGCTAGCATTCACTCAGATTACACGCCTTCGGCTGCAAGGCGTCTAAAAACTGCGCGTTACAAGATATCCCAAGTTTCAGATGACATGTAGACAAGAAAGCGGCCCGAAAGACCGATTCGACAGCACGTGTGTGACGAGATCATGCTATACGAATGCTTATAGGAATCACCGTCAATGTAGGGAGAGAATAGGCAGAAGGCAAATGAGTATGCGATCTAAGGAAAACCACTTAAAATTCATAAGCCCCATTTCCTTATCAAAAGTCCTCGCAAGCCTTCATCGCTTGGTTGTGATACCAAGCCGCGCGAAAAGGGATTCAATGATGTCGACCAGGGTCGCACCTGACCCCGTCCTGTGACCCCGCGCGATAACGTGACTGCGTTTCTTCATAAACCCCTACTTGCGGGGGCACCCAATATCCGTGACAGAAAAACCATTCCTAAAAGTGCTGGACCGTAGCAGACCGAAACGCCGTGAACATTCTGAGGTGATGTTGTCAGAAGTTATGGAGCTCACGCCGTCTCGAAACCGCCGAAGGTGTTCTCGCCCGAGTAGGTGATGTACAGGAAGCTGCAGATAGATTAGCATGCCGAGAATAATCACAGCTGTCTCAGCGGAGAGCACGTACCCATCCTCGTCCTTGTGCTCCTCGTAGATGCTGCTCATGAGAGCGGCGGTAGGGGGCAGGACCTCATCAACGAAGATGAAGATGGCCTTCTCCGGAGAGAGCTTGATGCGCTTGCGGATGACGTAGACGAACTGTCCGACGGTAAGGTCCGCGGGCACGAGGTACTTCTTCTTGTCGATGGTGGCGATATCTGACTTCTCAACCTTCTCGCAAATGACCTGGGTGAGGATGGTGGTTAGCTTGAAGGTGCACGACGGGATGATGGGAGATCGGCGGTGACGGTCGGGGAACGTGGGGCACCAGCGATAACGCGCGAAGCTGACGAAGGCGGCTACGACGATGGCGCCGTGCTGCAAACTACTATCGAGGATGCAGTGATGTGAAGGCAACTTACAGGAATACGGTCAGAATACTTCTGACGGATGCGCTCGGCCTCAGCCTTTCGCTTCTCGAAGGGGTGCTCGTCCTTGAACTTGGATCGCATGATGAAGGTGTTGGTAAGGGGCGATGGGGTAGTTGTGGATTCCTCAGCAGTCTGCAGCTGGTGGAGTGCGGGCGACAGGCAAGTTATAGATGGCGAGATGCTTGTGCGAGAGGTGATGATGACAGATGCGGAGGAAGAAGTGTGTAGAAAGGAGAGTTTAAGCAACGAGGGGTCGTTTGCGAAGGCAGATGAGGTGCTAAGGTAAGGTATGGAACGACAAGGTAAGGCAAGCAAAGGTGGTTGCCGCCTTGGGGGTGTCGGTCAGACACACGGGGAATGCAATGGGCGGTCACTGAGTGAATGGTCTGGAGGAAGAGGCGGGTGGCTCAGGCGACGGGGATGCGTGCCTGCCTGTGCTGCCTCCATGTACCTTTCTAGGCAGCTTGATATGGAAAGATACCTGGGTGCGCGGCCCAGGTTGGAGAAGGCTTGGAATGACTAAGCCGCATGGAAGATGCTCCCCGCCCCCTTGCCCTTGGTTTCCACACCTCCTACTGGTCCGGACTGCCTCAGCAGCAACTCATCAGTCCCGTCGTTATCCTTATCGGATTATCGGAGCGGGGCAAGACACCGATTTCACATAGCCAGTCAACTGGTGCAGGTGCGTGCAGGGTGCTGGGGCAAGATTGGCAGCGTCCAGCGCCCAGTGTCCAGCGTCAGCTGGGCAGGTGACCATTGGGAACCAGCGACGGACCACAGCCACTTGACGCAGGCTGGCAACCTGGCACACCTACCTTCTGGATCTGGCCTGAGTCACAAGAGGTCCTGGCACACAGTTATTTGTGACCATTCTGCTGCAGAGCACTTGCTGAAAATTTGGCAGAGTCTCACGGGGTCGTGGTAGAGACGACCTCCTGATACGTGCACACTGATTGTCTGTGCTTGCTGCTGTCCTGTCACCCAAAGGCTTTGAGTGCTTGGTCGTCATCGGGGAGCATCACTATGCCGTTTCTTATCGGCGATACTCTGCCTGACGTCATTTGTCCCCAGTAAGAGGTGACTCTGAGGACTCTCAAGGAGGGCGTAGCACTGAACTCAGACTGAGGCAACGTGGGGACAGTCGCCGACCGAATGAGTAAGTACACATAGTATCGATAGTATCGTCGCCTTGCTTATCTGGCAGATAAGCAGGCTTACTTAGGTAAGGCAAGGTTGCAAGACCCCGCTCTGGACCTCCGATAGCCGACGATGCAGGTGACAGAATGAACTGGGCAACAGTCCCTTAAGCTTAACTACCTGCGCATTCGATTCGTCTCACGAGGCAGAGGAGGATTGAACCGTGTTCTCAGAAGCGGATGCTGCAATCAGTATTGAATTATCATACGATCGTGGTTGCCAGATATGTTGCGCCATCAATGTAGTATTGCTCCCCAGCTTTGGACCCCATGGAGCTCGTCCATTGCGACGCAGCTCTGCGCTGAAAGCTGACGGCCCGACAAGCTGGAAAGGGTCGCTCTGGGGCTGGACCGTGGGCACCTCAGGTATTCGCAGCAGGGCAGCTCTCCCACTGGTCAGCCGTGCCAGCGACTCGGGAGGGAAGGCGGTAAGGCGCCTCCGGCGTTCGGCGGCAATGCGACACCTCATCCCACCTCACCATGGATCAATTGGGCCCTGCGAAGGCGGGAGCTGTCCAGTCCCACTGCTTATCCTCCGTTGCCGTGACCGGGGTTCCGCCCATAGAACGTGGAACGATTAAGTTGCCGAATTTACTTTTACAGCTGGCCTGACTGGCTCGAACGACTTCCAGTCAGTCCATGATCGCTACTTGGTGGTCTTATGCCTTTTGCCTGGGAATAATCATCCGATTTTCTGTACTCTGCACCCGAGTCACTCTTTTCTTGCTATTCCCTTTTAGATTTCTATCTGTATTTATATTTTCTGTCCGGCCGCATCATGGCGTCAATCAGGCATTCGCAGAGGGTGCTCGCACAGCTCGGCAGTTCTCGCACCAGACTCGCAACAGCAACCGCAACCAAGCTCCAACAACCTCAATTGGGTCGCAGACTCGTCTCATCATCCGCAAAGTCTCATTTCAAGGGTCACCAGTCTAACCCGGCTTTCTCCCGACTTCTAATTGGAGCAATTGGTCTTGCTGCTGCAGCACCCCTTGCCTACAAGATGGTACTGCAGCTTCACTCCGCACCACCCACCCATGCCGGTGCTTCCGTCACTTTGACAACCAATTGCTAACCTTCACCTTCTATCAAAATGCAGGCCGTTCAGGAACCCTTCCAACTCGATTCGCCGTCCCTGGCCGAGCGCGATGCCCTCACCAAGAAGGAATCCGACATCACCGAGGAGTCTCCTATGCGCCTGCGCATGGAGAAGTTCATCAAGGAGCAGCAACAGATCATCGTGAAGGAGCTCGAAAAGGTTGACGGAGGAAAGTTCCGCAAGGACGAGTGGACTCGTAAGGAGGGCGGCGGTGGCATCACCTGCGTGCTGCAGGACAGCAATGTCTTCGAGAAGGGTGGCGTCGGTGTGTCTGTCGTCTACGGCACCCTCCCCAAGCCCGCAATTGCTAAGATGCGCGCCAACCACAAGAACCTTGATGACAGCGTCGACGCCCTCCCCTTCTTTGCCGCCGGCCTGAGCATGGTTCTGCACCCCAAGAACCCCATGGCCCCGACCGTCCACCTCAACTACCGCTACTTCGAGACAGCCCATCCTGATGGCACCTCCAACGCCTGGTGGTTCGGCGGCGGCAGCGACTTGACACCCTCCTACCTTTTCGACGAGGACGCAGTCCACTTCCACAAGACGATCAAGGAGACATGCGACGCCCACGACAAGAGCTACTATCCGCGCTTCAAGAAGTGGTGTGACGAGTACTTCTATAACAAGCACCGCGGCGAGTGCCGTGGCGTCGGCGGCATCTTTTTCGACGACCTCGACGAGACCGAGAAGGACCGTGACAACACCTTTGCCTTCATTCAGGACTGTCTCAAGTCCTTCCTGCCCGGCTACCTCCCCATCCTCGAGAAGCGCAAGGACATGCCCTTCACCGAGGCGGAGAAGGACTGGCAACAGATCCGTCGCGGCAAGTACGTCGAGTTCAACTTGGTTCACGACCGTGGTACCGCCTTTGGTCTGAACACCCCTGGCTCAAGAGTCGAGAGTATCCTGATGAGTTTGCCCCTGACTGCAAGCTGGAAGTACATGCATGAGCCCGAGCCGAACAGCCGCGAGCAGCGCCTCGTAGACGTTGTGAGGTCGCCCAAGGAATGGGTGTAGATAGGGCAATATGAGGGGTAGAATAAATACCTGGATATGGAGCAATGGGATGCGAGCGATATTTGCTGTACAACTATCCCCTTTTACGGCGGACATAATGAGATTAGACAAAAGCCTTCAGGCGGCAAAACTCAATAAGAGATGTTTTCTTCTGTTCATTTCTGCCGAAACTTGTCTATATACTTGCATTGGTAACTTCAAAGGGTGGCTGCGTCTAACTGAGCGGGAACTATCAGGGCTCCGATGCTCCCAATCTCATACAGCATCTTCAACCACGCATTTTCGCACACACCACGCCACCAAATCAATCACACTCCGGCGAACGATTTATTTCCCAAATAGAACCTCATAAACCAAAAATTGCCCTCCAAATGAAGCCAACTCATGCTGCCCAGAGTACACCATGAGCCCATCACAACCAACACCTCGCGCTGTCCTCACGAGCCTCATAAACACTCTTACAGCATCACCGCTACCCCCGCTGCCACAGCCCGGCAGCAATCCGCTCAAATCCCTTCCTCAGTCCCAGCGTCCGATACTGGTAACCCTCCACGTCCTCTTCCCTTCGCTCGTCCTTCCCGCTCTGGATCTTCTCGACCGCAACCTGGTAACCCGGGTCGTAAAAGTCGACGCACTTCCCTACAACAGCGATACCGATACCGACGACGAGGACCAAGTCCCCAACGCCGCCGCCGGCGGGGACCCCGCCATCAACCCCGCAGACCACCACCACCACCACCACCACCACCACCCGCCGTCCTTCACCTCCAATTCCGACGACCAGGATGCAAACGACCGGGATGAGGCGACAGCCGGCCCCAACCGCGACGAGCCGGCAGCATTCCACCTTGTCCGCTCCGTCGCGTCCACCTTCCGCCGCAACCAGTCGGGTGCCATGACAACTTCCACGGCGACAACATATCTCGTCCAGCTGGACGCGTGGAACTGCACCTGCGCCAATTTCGCCTTTGAGGCGTTCCCCGCCGGCACTGAGAGCGACTTAGAGATTTTGGGCGCTGATGCGGTGGAGGATGAGATCGATGTGTCGCCTGATTGGCAATTCGGGGGTCTAAGTCTTGATGGGAAGGATTCTGGCGGGGTGCCGTGTTGCAAGCATCTGCTTGCCTGTTTGCTGGCAGAGCAGTGGTGTGACGTTCTCGGGAGCTATGCTTTGGAGAAGAGGTTGGATCGGGAGGAGATTGCGGGAACAATTGGGGATTTGTAAATCATCACGCGATGTGAACCATGGATAGTATCAGTTCAAAACATGCTATCATTGTACAAGGCACATTCTTTTCTTGTGAATATGCCTGTTTCCCGCCCCCGGCCTGCCCTCCTGGACGCCGAGATATTATGACATGCCACACGGTCCCAATGTCTATCGCGGGTATCAGTCCCGTGCGTGTGTGTGTTTCCCATCTGTCTCCGTCGTAATCAAGTCATCTACTTCTTCTTCTCCTTCGCCTCCTTATCCTTGTCCGAAGACTCCTTAGACTCGCCGTTCACGCCGTTGGCCTTATCGTCCTTCTTCTCCTCCTTGCCGTTTGCCTCGTCCTTCTTAGCCTCCTTCTCCTCTTGCTGCTGTCGGTTCTGGATCTTGTTCTCGATGAGGTCGTGGAAGGCCGTGATCGCACGGATCAGACTGCTGAGATAGATGGCCATGAGCTGGTCGTTTGTCTTGATGCTCATGGCATGAGAGAGCTCGCCGCCGCTCGACTTGCCGTCACCCTTTGGCGGCGTCGACAGGTTGGGCAGAAGGTTGAAAACGTCTTGGAGATTGCCTAGGATGGCGTGGTTGACCGGGAGCTGGCCATCGAGGACCTTTTGGAGGTAGGCGCCAATGTCGCGCAGACGGAGGTGCAGCCCTTGGAGGGACTGGAGCTGGTTTGTTATCCGGGTCGACAAGGTGCCGACTGCAACGTCGCGAATATCGCGGAGAAGGTGCTCGACACCAATCTCCTCTGCTTCCTCAGCCTCGATGATTGACGGAGTGTGGACAAAGGTTCTTGAGGTGGTTGTGCCGTCCTGAACATACTACGTCAGTGATAGTTCTTCGCTTGAGGACCAAAGCAAGACTCACATCCTTGATCTCCTCCACGGCGAAGTATGCGTCTGTTGGCACGCCCGCCTCCTTCGGTTGTACATCAATAATGACTAGGAGAGGGTTCGGGGTGTAGCGCTTGAACAACTCGTTGATCTCGAGATCCGACGCCCGCAGCTTGGGTCCGGAGTGGTACCAGCCGATCAGCTTTTCCCTTGCATTGACCTTCTTGAACATGTCGTTCATGCCCTCGACGTAGTTGTGGTCCAAGAACCACACTGAGGGGTCCTTGTCATCCTCCTCGAAGGGTACTGTAGGTTAATGTCAGCCTCGCGGGCAAAGCCTACGGGTGGTGTGCCGTCGGTGTCATCGTACCTGCGAAACTGTTGGATACACGGACGTTCTTGCCATCATTAGAGCCCAAAAGGACACCGACCACTCTGCGTTTCGATCCCTTGACTACCGCCCGGTTGTAGTGATCGACAACGGAAAGAAGGACGAGAGGGGCAACGGAGACGTTCCGTGTGACGAGAGACAGAGTCTCTGCGGTGGTGGCAGGCATGATAGAGGTGGTTTCGTAGCTTCGTTAGGTCGATTGGGTCGGCTTCGTGGAGGATGAAGGGTTGACGAGGCGGCAGTGATTTTTGGATGATGGTGTAGTGAGTACCGTGAGGTAGTGGTGCTGTCGTACTGCTGAGGCTGCCTTCCCGCCCAGCTTAGCTACGAATCGGGCTTAGGCGTAAATGAAAGCTCGAGCCTCGCCAGATCACGTGGAGCCATTGAAGTGCCATTATCTAAGCAGGGACCTCAAAGGTGGTCAAACAAAAACATTGGAGTAACGGAGTGTTCAGACGACCTTACTTAAGCACAAGCCCTAGCCACTTGAGGCTCAGGCAGTGGCTTGATCTGCCTGCCACCTGCCACCTGCCACATCGGCATCTCGTTTTTCGCGATCAAGATCTCCCGACAGCCAAGTCCGGCGTCGGCCCCTGCTGTCTCCATCTGTGCCATGCTTTCCGTCCTCACTGACTAAGGAAATTCAACAACGGATTTATTTCCATCTGAGAAACGGGTACTGCGGTATGCGCCTCAACAAGTGACATCTGAACACGAAGCCTCCTAGCCTTCTCAAGCCTGCAATGGCTTTCTCGGAGAATTGCGGGTGACTGGGATGACCCTAAGAGACTCACATGTCGCACGGCACTAGAAGCCCTCAAGACCAACACCTGGGCCCGGTGACCTCATAGCAAGGCGTGCCCATCCGGTGCGCCGGGGGCTGGGTCTTCTCGCGAGAGCTTCTGATGCCGTCCGCCGTGCCTTATCCGCATATTGCTTAGCGGTGCCTCTCTAACAGTCACATAGCGCAATTTGGGTGTCTAGGTCTTAGGAGGGCTAAAGGACGCCTGTACCTGCCCGCAATGGACCTCGGCGGAGAGGGAGCGGCGAGGACCGACCAATGGCGGGCGGAGCGCTGTAACGGAAGCGCACTCAATGGCACCTGGGCGGAAATATGGAGATTGGAGAGAGAGACCTTTGGCAGCGAAACAGCCGAACGAACGCCTGCCACCCTGTTCCCCCAGCAGAACCAGAGAAGGGGCCCCAGTAGATCTACCCAATCACGTAATCCTTAGCCGACGCCGTGGCCGCCAAACGGTCTGTCACCTGCCTTCACCCACGCGCAAAGCTCGGTACGGCGCAAGTACCCCCAGCCAGAGGTGCAGCAGAACCCAGCGCACTGCAACTTGCCGGGCAGTTCCAGTTCCAGTTCCAGGGCATTTTAGGTGGTACATCCGTGCCTGGACACCGCTGGAGGCGGGAACCCGGGCGACCTTGGCCGTTCACTAGGACTTCGGAGCAATTCTCAACCTCTTTCGCGACTATTTTTCCCGCAAAGCTTTGTTGCTTCTTCTACCCAATCCTCCAACCTCGACAACTCTCCTCTCTCCCCTCCCTCTCCCCCCTCACTCTTGTCCTTCTGCTCTTGAAGTAGCTCTCTTCTTGCATCTCTTTGCTCACCACTCACCCCTCCGAAAGCCTCGGTCCGGCCCTAGTTCACTCTTCACAAGCCGTCAAAATGAGCAGTCTCGTTGAGGAAGCAGTCAAGAAGCTGACCAACACGGTCGAGAGCCTCGAGTCTAGAATCAAGGCTCTTGAGGACCGCGCGGCTGGCGGTTCCGGCAAGCTCTCCACAGAAGAGGTTCGCATGATCCTCATCGGCCCCCCGGGTGCTGGTAGGTGTCTCCAATTGAGCTTTTTGGCTCGCATCGCTTGCTCGTCGCAACAGCCATGCTGATTCTTAAACTCCCGCACAGGCAAGGGCACCCAAGCTCCCAAGATCAAGGAGAAGTTCAACTGCTGTCATCTGGTAAGCCAATTGACATCTGTCTTTTATGCCGCTTGCTTTCGATCAGCTCTAACGGCGGTTTCCACATCTAGGCCACTGGTGACATGCTGAGATCGCAAGTCGCCAAGAAGACTCCGCTCGGCCGGGAAGCCAAGAAGATCATGGACCAAGGTGGTCTCGTCAGCGATGACATCGTCATTGGCATGATCAAAGAGGAGCTTGAGAACAACAAGGAGTGCAAGGGAGGGTATGTCGAGTCTATCTGTCGCGAAACCTGCCAACGGACACCGTTCAGCAGCTGTGGCGCACCAGTTGCAGAGCCAACGTAACGCTAACCTACGGACCAACCTCACAGCTTCATCCTCGACGGCTTCCCCCGCACAGTCCCCCAGGCTGAGGGGCTCGATGCTATGCTCAAGGCGCGCAACCAGAAGCTTCAGCACGCTGTCGAGCTGCAGATCGACGACTCCCTGCTCGTCGCCCGCATTACCGGCCGCCTCGTCCACCCTGCTTCCGGTCGCTCCTACCACAGCACCTTCAACCCTCCCAAGGAGTACATGAAGGACGACATCACTGGCGAGCCCCTCATCCAGCGCTCCGACGACAACCCGGAGGCCCTCAAGAAGCGCCTCGCTACCTACCACGCCCAGACGGCTCCCGTCGTCGGCTACTACAAGCAGACCGGTATCTGGAAGGGTCTCGACGCCTCCCAGGAGCCCGGTCAGGTCTGGAAGAACATGCTCGAGATCTTCGACTCCCAGCGCAAGGGTGGTCACGCCTCCGGCATCCTCAGCCGCATCACCTCCAAGAACTAAGCTAGCAACCTCCAGAGCCCGTGGCTGTTGCTGTGTCCACGCCCGCCACCACCCCAGGGCGCGCATGTCACACACGGACACACGAGGAGACTTGATCAGAACTCCTTCTTATCGGCTGTCGACCCTTTTCGTAAACCGCGGCCAGCAAAGGAAGAGGAACGTGGATCGGAGGAAACGTTTTTATGGAACTGTCATTTTATGGATCATGAAAGGACCGGGAAAGGGGAATACCGTTTCCCAACCGTCGTCCACGCCTTTACCAAGCAGGCTTATATTTTGCGAATGACGTTTTGGCCATTGGGAGGGGAATTCGGAAGCTTCTCGAGCTTCTTCCACGACGACCCGCAACACACTCTCACACACCCGAACGAACCCTATCGTGTAGAAATATCGCACGCTTGTATGTACCACAATTACTGTCTCACTAATAACCAAAACCGGCGGTTTGCAGTTGGATGGGCACCGAATACAAACAATTCTTCAAAAAATGATTCTCCATCGTCTCTTCAGCCCCTGACTGGACCTGCAGAGATGTGCGTCAGATCGCCCAAAAGCAAGGTGAGGAAAAAAAAAAAAGACGCGTTCGCTACACTTCGGTTCGCGTGGCGCCGAATTCGGGCACCCTCGGCATTACTGTCTTACCTGGCCTGTACAAGAAAAAAGTGAAAAAGAGGAAAATTATGGGGCCGCTCTCCCCGATTTCCATTCCGTCTCCGACGACCGCGGCCCTCGCGGGTTCGTGAAAACTGGACCTCTTTCATGCCCCCATTCCCGTCGAAACCCATCCTCTCCCAGGATGACGCAAGACGGAGCTGCCGGCTGTCGATGGAGGTAGATGCTGTCGGAGGGGCAACGTTCGGGTTACCCCGGCCGAGGCATTCGCTTGAAAATCAACGCCGATGCGCGAAGGGGGCGCGGAACTTCAAGAAAAAGGCAACGAGATGATATCGATAGTTTGGTCCATTCTATAACACTCCTATCAAAAGATGAGAAGAAAGGCTTGCTCCTGCCCATACGCGCTAGCAACTATGAACAAAGAAAATATAAGGAGGTCGAACACAAAGGGGGCCCGGAATTTGAAAGGTAAGTAGGGACGAGAATAAGCCGTTGAAAGGAACAGAGAGTGCCGCCACCATCCCCGCGATGCAATGCAATGCTCCCGAGATGCAGGCCAGCCAAGCCATCCCCTCCACTAAGACAAGAAAGATGCCAACGCCAACGATGCTTTCCGCTACTCCAAAGCCAAACTGCTAGATATGGTGAGATAAGATATAGTGGGAGTTGAAGAGAGGTCTAGATGCTTAGGATGGGTTCCCGCTCCAGGTGAATTGGACACTTCGGGCTGCTCTACCTCCTAGGAGTGGCTGCAGGGAAAGCATCAGCACTTATGTTCGTAGCCTTCACTAGCAAGTTTCATACCGTTGACCATTTGTCTCTGCTTGCCCAGCCAGCTTTTGGGCACTTCGTTTCTCCTCTGCAACACCACGTGATTGCTCTGAATACGACTGGTAAGATCGTACCAGGCGGTGGCGATGAGGGCGTTCTCGCGTTGAAGATTCTTAATGATCTGGTCACTCGCAGCCTTTGCAATTATCGTCAGTCACTGGACAAGCATGGGAAATGAGAGGAGAGACGGTGATATCCAATTCAACCGCATCACTAAAGCATCAAAGCATACCTTTTGCGCCGCAGCCGCTTCGCCGCCCTCCGCTGCCTTGAGCTTACGCTGCAAGTCGTACTTTTCTTGCTCGGACTTTTCCAGTTGCTATAAAGAGATTTCCCGTCAGTCCCTACTGCCCGTATGCGTTGATCATAAATTCAAGTGTCAAAACTCAGCTCTCAGCCGACGCCATGACGAGGGAGATAAAGCCCTAGGGCGCGGTGAAGACCTTGATTGGCCAAACACCTTGCTTGCTACACTCTTGATCCAAGCCTTCTTCTGCACGGGTTCTTTGTGCCTTGGCTGGCGTTCTGAGAACGTGTGAGGATGGCAAGGGGGAGCCATGAGCCGGGGCTTCGGATCGCTGTCGTACAACATTGATGCCCGCGGCTCGGCAGGCAGCTCAGGTGACTCAGGGGCGTCGGGCTCGGATTTAGGGGAAATCTGGAGAATGTGTCTAAAACGTACCGATTGTCGCTCCTTGAGTCTCGCCCGCAGCTTCTCAATCTTGTCTTCGCGCTTCTGGCTAACCTCGCTGGACTCGGCACCATCTTGCCGGCCCTCCTTGACTTCGTCGAGTTCCTTTCGAAGTTTGTCCTTCTCTAGCAGAGCGTTGATTAGTGAACTTTGGCGGTTTTCCAAGTCAGCGCTGAGGTTCCTTATTTGTAGGCGCGCTGCCTCAAGCTCCTCTCGCACCGAGGCTGAGATGAGCTGGTCAGTGGATTTGAGCTCCTCGAGGGCAGTAACACTGTCTTTGGCAACAGCAGAGAGGTCTGTCCTGGCGCTGAGGAGCTCACGATCCTTGTCGGCGAGCTGAGCTTGCACTTCTGTGAGCTTCCTCTTCTCGGCTTGGAGCTCGTGGGTCATCTGGGCAACCTGAATCTTCAAGTTGGCCAACACCTCGCTAAAGTAGTATTCTTGCGTTAGCACTCGTTCCAGGCCAAGTGGGATAAGCATATTAACGAATTCGACTGACTTTTCGCCGCCGCCCCCAATCAAAGCGCTGACTTGAGCCTCTGCAAGCTGGTGCTTTTCAAACGTGTCGTTGTACGTGCTTTGGAGACGCTCCCGCTGTCGTCGTTCGTCCTCGAGTTCTTGACGCAACCGAGCATTTTCTGAAGCGGAGCCCATGCCGCTACGAAGCAAGTTGTTCTCAGCCTTAAGTCGAGAGACCTCGAGGCTTAGGTTGGGAGGAGCACTGCTGCCAGCACTGTCAAGCTCCTGCTCCAGGCTGAACCCGGCAGAAGCTGCGTCTGGTGACATGGCTGATGAGCCAGCCCCAGTGGCAATCTGCTCCTGCAGCTCAGAAATGAGGCGCTCATCTGAAAGACGCTGAGCGTCAAGAGACTGAAGGCGAGCCCTCAACTGCATGGTGTCATCGTGAAGCGCCCTTCGCTGGGCATCCAGCTCGACGTACTGTAGCTCGTAGTCTCTGAGCTTTGAAGCGTACTGCTCGTTAGTCTGTTCCAGCGCCTGATTCCTCTTTAGAACCTTCTCGTATTCAATGAGGTCACGCTGCATCTGCTCCTTCTCGTAAAGCAGGTTGTCCATCTCTTTCGACAAGGTAGATTGGGCCTCGAGCTTCTGCTTGTATCGCTCCACCATGTTTGCCTTGCGAGACAGCTCTTCATTCTTGAAGCGCAGTTCCTTCACTTCATCATCGAGAGCCTCAAGCTTCTGAGTCTTGGCCTTGAGCGCCGAGACCTCGCTTTGCAGCCGTTCTTTCGCGATCCGATCGTCCTCAGCCTGAGCCTCCTGGTTGGCGATGAGCTCATCCTGCTCACGTAGCTTCAACTCAAGCGACCTGATGACCTCCTTTCCGGCACCATCTTGAGCGCTGTGGAATGCTTCCAGCTCCCTTCCCTTTGCAACGACTTCGTCCTTTAGATCGTCATAGCTCTCTTGCAGATGGCCCAAGCGTGTCTCCATGTCTGCGAGGAGCTTTCCTCTTTTGTCTAGTTCGGAACGAAGACGTATATTGTCAGCCTCCATAGCAAGGTCGGCATCGTGGCCCTCGTGGGTGGCGTCGGAAGTGTCGTCGAGGTCTGCTGCGTCAGCTTCTTCCATGGCTTGCTTCATATCCTGAGTGATTCGCTGGAGCTGCATGAGGACCGACTTGTCGGAGATGTCCTTGGTAATGCGCATGACGTATCGTTCGTTATTACTCCCGAGCATCGCGATTGCAAAGAGAACGGCAATGAGCTGTGTGAATTTTCGAATTAGCGGATCCATGGGCCGAAAGAGAACGACAGTGTCCGTCATAATGATAGGTACCTGGGCGATAGCTTCTGGCTGCGCTTCTCTGGCTCTGGGTCGAATGTCCGCAGACTTCACCTTGCCCACGAGCCCGGGGCACTCGCGATAGACCAGCCTATGGATGCCCTTGTAGACATTGTAGAGGGGGCCTTCGCTGGTATTCGCGTCGAAGGAAGGATCGAGGTCCTGCAGGACCTGAGAGAGTAGGATGCCATCGAGATAATCGTTTATTGAGTCAGCCTTCTTGTCGAGTGGAAACGTGTTCGCCTAAAGACACCAAAAGTTAGCATTCTACTCTCTGAGGACCTGGGCCGAGGTCTGCGCCTGGCCAAGGAAGTGAAGTTCCACACTAAAGGCGATCCATATTGACTGATGACCTACCCATTGGACCAGCGCGGCCTGCGCGCTCTCTGAATACGGCATGATGCTGCCCGTCTATGGCGTCGTGACTTCGTGGTAGTCGTCGTCGTGTGTCGTCTTCTTGTCAAAATGGCAGCCCTCGCCTCGGATTTTGAGCAGCACGTGGGAAAGAGGCCGGGTTGGGTTCGGGTTCCACTAGGTTCGTCGTGGTGTTCGTGCTTGGTGCAAGTCAAAGCGGCAGGGGATGTTGTATTGTGGTTCCATGTGCTCGGAAAGCTCGCATCGCATATAGGCAAGGTAGTCGGACGGGATCAGACACCTAGGGAGAGTGCGGGAGAAGAAGATAAGGTGTATTAAAGAGGGTTTCGACAAAACGTCGTGTCCTCGGTCGAGGAAGGGCGGTGAAAGGCAAAAAAAATTGGGAGGAAGCCTTGTTCGCGCACAGGTGGTGGTTGAAAGGGACCTGCAAGCGCTCCTCAGTGCAGCAGGGAAGGGGAGAGGAAATGGAAAAGTGTCTTGTCGTCCCAAGACAGACGCATTGTTCAAGTCCAATGCTCCTGCTTCCTGCCTCTCTTCTACCGAATCCACTCCAATCTTGCATGACTGACTTGCATCGTACATAGCTCCTCCTCCCCTTATCGATTACCAAAGGTACAAAGGTAGCTAGCTAGGCTAGGGGAAGTCTAGTCGAGGCACCTTGCCGCGACGTGCGCGCCTAGCAGCTTTAGCATCAGCGTTGTGATGTGTACCAACCTGCCGCTTATTTCGAGTCGAGGTACCTGATTTCTCTTGCCCGAGTAAGGTAAACTAAAAGTACCTCACTCGCTCAGGTGGGATCACTCAGTGAAAACCACTGCCGCCCGACAGGTACATCCTTACATTAAGGCATCTCCCGCCCCCAAGCCCGAAACTCCAAGTGACGCGAAGCGGGACGGATGTCCAGGGGCCCTGATGCTATAGTGGGGCGGCCGGTTCTCGAGGCCACTGACAGCGCCCTGTTTCCCTCTTTGACCCTTTGACCATTGTGGGAGACCAGCCAAACACAAGCCTCAACGGCTAGCCTTTGAGTCTCCAGTGATTTCTGCATGAGATACCAGCCTGATCCTGCCGGGTTTTCCATTCTACGAGGGTGTCCTCGGAGTACCTTTGAAGAAAGCCTTTTGACCATCTGCGGGTCTGCGAGCAAACAATCGACATGACACGGTGACATAAGGCCTGCTGGTCGGCATCCCGTCATTGTCCCAGACCTCCCTTGCGATGAACAGTAGATAGCGGGTTTCTTCTGAACGATACCGAACACGGATCAAACAGCTCTATTTCCATAGGCTCAAAACTCGTCGCTTGCTGGAGCACAGACTTGTCCTGGATGTCCCTTGAGTGCTGCCTTGGCCAACCCCTCCAATATCGCTCCCAGCGTTCCAGTCGCAATCGCCCACGCTCTTGGTTCTCAGGTCCTCACGCCTAGATCGCCCACTTGGATAGCTCCGTAGACGCTTGGGAACGTTGGTTCGGCACGGTCGCTGCCGTAGGGTTGCTTTGGGCGTATTGTATCCCGCTCAGCATAGATACAACCCGACGGCACTCTCCTCTTGCTTCCAAAAACCTCGCATTTTCTTCATCGCGATTCCTGAAATCGCATCTTCCCCAAAGTGACACTGGCGTCTGGAGCGTGGCTTGCCAATAAATCCCCCACAGCGCGCTTTGACTCGTCTGTGACATGACCTTGTTGTATTCTTCATCAGTAGTCCACACGCCCAACTGGCAGACTGTCCGAGGAACATTAGAAACACCGGCCTTCGTCCCACAGAGTACCCCCTTAATGATACAGCATGCCGCACTCTTCTTCAGCTGCTGAGCTGCACACTGGCGGGACGAGGGCACGAGAGAGCACTCTGGACGATACGTAAGCTTGGCAGAAGAGAAATTGCGCCGCATGGTGACATATCCATTTCTCATCAAGTTCAATGGGGATTCTGGACCGTCCAGTGGGGAAGCTGGAACCTGCAGGAAATCCGCTTTTGATCTGCGAATCTGCGCCGCACACGATTCGCTCTCCACTCCTCAGGCACATCGTCTGCTGTTTGGACTGTCATCGGGAGGCTGAAGGAGTTCCCGTACATAAGGCTTGCTGTTGACGTCGCTCGCCATGTGGTTCTCAGCCGCATCCGTCCTGTCTTCGGCGACTGTTCATCCACCGGGCCGCTGTGTTGGTCTCGTCGCTAATGGCGAGAGCCTGCATTCCATTCACTCTTGGGAGCAGCTGTGGCTGATTCAGGCAAAGCGTATGCTTAGTATTGATTTTTTGGTTTGGGGGCGTTGGGGAGGATTCAGCTACTGGCGGTCTGAACCCGTCTCCTGGCCTTATTTGATACTAATGGCGTCCGGAAACGCTTTATAAAAGGGCGGGAAACTCCTGACTCCGTAGCAAAAACCCGTCTATGACGAAAATGGGGGATAGAAAAGTGCCTCCTTGCTTGTCCCTGTCGCAGCCGCCGGGAAGGGGGCGGATATCATTTGCCCTCGTGACCTAGTCCAGCCAAAGTCAAAGTCCTTTTTACTGGTCGAATCTTTCACACAATAATCGTATCGCAAGTCGTATCGTCGGTGTTGGCATCTTGAGTTTGATGGAGCGACACGTTGAGCTTAGCCGCTGACAATCTGGTCCTCGTCGACATTCATGTCATCGCCGCCAAAAGCCTTGATGTCGTCGAGAGCCTTGGCTGGCGCAATCGCAGCAAAACCCCTGCATAGAAGAGTCAGCATGGAACGCAGGTCACGGCAGACCGCGCCCTGAGGACTCAGATGAGTCTTACCTGAAGTTATCGAGCATGTTGTAGGTGTGGGTGATTTGTCCCTGAGCCTCAACAATGGCGGCCTTCGCACGATCAATCATGTCCTGGGTGACGGACTTCTTGTCGGTCCAGATGATGACGGACTTCATCTGGTCGACGGCAACGACGCCGGAGGCGACGGTGAGGACGGCGGTCAGGAAGGCGGAGAATCTCATCGTGGCGGGTAGAGGTCGAAGGTCGTCGGACTCGAAAGGTGTTTGGTATTGAGAACTTTGGAGTTGAAAAGTGGGCGGATAGTTCGGGCAGTGCAGTCAGAGCGACTTTGTATCGACCGATTTCGAGGGGTTACACGAACTGGCGGAAATGGCGAGGGCTCTTCGTACTAGGCGGTAAATGAAGCCACCAAGGGTCTGCTGGCAGCTGGGTGGGGGATTCGCGGGTGTTAAATGGTTGTTTGCTGGGGACGGAGACGGAGATGGAGCGAGGCGAGTAGTGTAAGGGTGGATGCAAGAAACAGGTTAGACAGTGCAGTTCCTGGGTACAGGTAGGGAGGAAGGATAGCAATGGCTCCTGCTGCTTGGACAGTACGGTCCGGTGGCGGAATTCTGTTTGTTACTGGCCGAGCTGCTTAATGAGGAAAGACACTCCATCGCTGCAGTAGGCAACTAGCAGCCAACCTCGCTCTCCCACAGGTACCACCTGCCCTGAGAGGTGCAGTGGGCGCGGCGTCATTGGTTCTGGACGTGCCCATCACACTGCACTGAGAGTGGGTGGAGCCGGCAGTGATGGGACAACCCGTCCACCCGTGCTCTAGGGGGAGGGGAATGGGGGGGGGCCAGGGTGCCAGATTGCATGACCATCTGCCCCCAAACACTACGAACCACCTCTTGGCAGTTCCGTCCACTCTCCAACACTTCCGCATGAGTCACGTGTGGACGGTTTCGTTCGAGGCTTGCATGTTCCAGTTTCCTGCTACCTCCATCGCGTTGGGCGCATATTTATGTGCTGTGGATTTAGCCGCTGGTTGAGGATAGGGACGCAAACGATTGCGATTCATTACCAGTACAATTGCCCTGCTGGCTCTCCAAGTAGTATGCATTTGACTCCTCAACGCCGATTCGTGTCCTTTGACAAACTCCAAGTCGTTCAAGTAACCCCCAAAAACAAGTTGTTGGTGCAATCCGTATGCCAGATACCGTGTTACTGGGAGCACCAGATCGCTTGCAAAACCCATGGAGGCCTCTATCCCTTTGCACTACCGGTCGTACTGTCGTTCTCGGCCCAGATGTCCTTAGTCTCCTGCTCGACAGCCCGCATGGCAACGGCAACATCCTCAAGCTTGGCCACGACATCCAACACGCCCTGGTTGACTCGTTGGAAGTAGCGGTCGTTGGCCTCCCGTCTCTTCCGAGCAAGCAGAATGTCCACTTCCGTCTCTTGCTCAAGCTTCGCTCCGAGACGCTCCGTTCCCCCACTGCTTCCCGGTCGAGCGCTACCGGTCCCCGTACTTCGCGGCCCGTCACCGCCATCCGACCCCATGCCTGTCTCTCCTAGAACGGCACTCTTCAAGTTGCGAACTTCTTCCCCTGCCGCGGATGCGTTGGACCGCTGTCCCGTCTCAATTGCCTCGTCAGCCTCGCTGCGCGCCCAGGCTTGGGCCAGGGCAATCTGAGCGGCTCGCAGCTCCTCAAGCTTGCGGTCGTGGTCCGGTCCAAAAACATGAGTTCCGCCGGATGCTGATAGCTCCACCTCCTCCAATGTCGCTTGCATCTCAGCCCACAAGGCGTCTGTCCTGTCGGTACTGCGAGCACTGTCTGCCGTTTTGAGGTTGCGACCAGCCGGCCTTGCGACGGACGGCGTGACCACTGAGCCAGTGTGAAGAGACCCGTTGCGTTGCAGGCTCATGACTTGGGGCGGTAACGGTGGGACGCCGGTAGATGTAGTTGCTGCCGGCGCACCTGGCGCGAGGATGCCTGGGAGCGATGCATGAGAGGCAGCTGGTGAGGGATGGAGGAAGAGGGATGGCGGGGGATCCCGCTGCTTTCCTTTGCTTTTGGCCGATTGAGACATGCCTACATTTTGCGTGTCGTCGTGAACATTCCACGCCCTTGACTTCGCGCCTGAGACAGCATCTCTTGAACCTGACGGCATCTGATCGGATTGGTTGAGAGACGGGTAAGTTGCGGACCTGGGGGCACCCTAGTCAAGCCTGCAGAGACGTGGGGTTCGTCGATTGTGGTGACCTGGCCGATGCATGATTGGACCAAAGAAGTGGCTCGTTCAGCCAGCACCAGCCACTCGGCTCGGTCGAAGCTCAGACCATCTTGCACGTGACTGCAACTTTTTGCAGTCCGTCGACTGACTCTAGGGCCACCAAACCCTACGAAAATTCCCTTGGGCCAGCTCAGTTGGGTCAGGTCAACTTTTTCGACGTACGCAGGCCCATACCGTCACCACCAAGTCAAGACTCGCGATACCCCCAATCAAATCGGTACGTTCGCCATCATACCCAAGCCCTTCGCATCCGTTGCCGACGAATCCCAATCAACCGACGACGACGAAGTTCCCGAATCCACGCCATTTTTATAAACCTCTTGTACAGAACTTCTGAACTGACGATTTGATCTTCAAGCAACCATGCCTCGTGGACTCAACGCCGCGCGCAAGCTGCGCCTTAACCGCAAGGACCAGAAGTGGGCCGATCTTGGATACAAGAAGCGTGCTCTGGGTACCGCCTTCAAGTCCTCTCCCTTCGGTGGTTCCTCCCACGCCAAGGGCATCGTCCTCGAGAAGGTCGGTGTCGAGGCCAAGCAGCCCAACTCCGCTATCCGAAAGTGCGTTCGTGTTCAGTTGATCAAGAACGGCAAGAAGGTCACTGCTTTCGGTACGATACCCCACCCCGTTATTACTGGATGCGATCGGAGGAAAAGATGGAGTGGACAATGGCTTCGCATAACGAGAAGACCCTGTGGTAGAGAGCCCAAATTGCTGACATTCCATTCCCATGACAGTCCCCAACGACGGTTGCTTGAACTTCGTTGACGAGAACGACGAGGTCCTCCTGGCTGGTTTCGGTCGCAAGGGCAAGGCCAAGGGTGATATTCCCGGTGTTCGTTTCAAGGTCGTCAAGGTCTCTGGTGTCGGTCTGCTCGCCCTGTGGAAGGAGAAGAAGGAGAAGCCCAGATCTTAAGCGTTCGGCACGACAATTTGGGAGGCAGTGGAAGAAAATTCGGCACTCGGAGTTTACGCTTGCATTGGCATCACACGGTTATGGATGGTCCTGACTACTACTGCGGGGTAGACTTTGGTCGATGAAATAAAACATCATGAAAGTCACCAAAACGGACATGAGGCATTGCATCATCTACGCAAGACACACAAGAATGGGGCTGCGGGCGTGATGAAAAGGGTATTCCGATTTCTATGTGCTATGAATACAGGCAATGTTGGTACACGTTACTGCGCTACGATCTTCTGCTCCTCCACCTTTTCGCCTTGAATATATCGTACAATGTAGTCGGCGAAGAGACCGATGCTAATGGCGCCGCCTGTGAGCCAGCAGCCATTGCAGAACCACCACCAGCAGTCTTTGACGCTCTTGAGGTTGACGCGCCTGATCATGATGCCAAGCGTCAGTGCAGCACCTCCACAGCTTCCGATGTAGAAGAGAGGTCCGGCACCAGCAGCGAAGCCTGCCATGCCCAAAAGACCAATCTGGACTGCCGCCAGGCCTGTCAGAACCTGCTTCGTCTCGGCGTCATGTTTCAGTGCGATACTCTTGATACCCGCCTTGGCATCATCCTTGATATCTTGATGGGCGTAAATCATGTCGTACAGCACCGTCCAGGCAACATTTGAAGAGTAAAGACAAGCGGCCGCCGTCAATGCTGCGCTGTTAGAGAGCAGGTCGATACCGAGGGCAGGGAACCCCATTATTGCTCCCCAGGAGAACGTCAGTCCGAGGACGGCCTGGGGATAGTACGTGACGCGCTTGGCGAGAGGGTATGAGGCGACAAAGAGCAGGCTTGGAATGCCGTAGAACAGGCAGGCAGTTGGAAACTGTACCAAGACTCCCAACCCGGCCAGAAGCTGAGCACCCGTGAAGACAAGTCCTTGGAAAGGAGTGACGGCGCCTCGCGCAATGGGTCGAAACTTGGTTCTCGTGACGTGGGGATCAAGGTTGCGGTCCCAAAGATCATTGATAGTACAGCCTGCGCCGCGCATGATAAGAGCGCCCGAGGCGAAGAGGAGAGAGGTTCCAATCACTGTGCCGGGAGTTGCCATGGCCATCGGCGCCGCCATGAGTGTCGAGAAGACGCATGGAAAGAAGAGGTAGTACGTTCCTACTGGCTTGTCGATTCGGACGAGCTCGGCGTAAGGGACCCATGATGCAGGCAGGTAGGAGAGGAGCCCGGTCGTGGGCGGTGTGTAGACAGGCTCGGCAGGGCCTGTTGCAGCAGCAGCAGCAGCATCTTGCGTCACCGCGGCCGTGAGACACTTCGTAGATGTGTGAAGCGCCGTCTGCTGTTGGCGGACTGAGCTCCGGACGATGAGGCTCGTGGCAGGCTTTTTGTGGGCTTGAAGTCCGAGCCGCGGCGAGCGCCTTATGGGCAAGAGTGCCGATGTCCGTAGTGAGGGCTTACATGCCGTTTTTAAGGAGCCGCTCAAAATGCTGACTTGCCTCATCTTTGTGGACTGGAAAACGTCAGTATGAAGTTTTGGTAAGGGGGTAATGCGCGTCGTAGACTCCCATCGGACATCACCAAAAAAAGAATGATGGCTGCATTGCAACGCCACAACGAAATGAGGGTCAGCGTTACATAAGTACAAACTTTTAAGCAAATATAAAAAGAGCAGGATATCAATCATGGACAAGTTGGACGGCGTATATGACGAGACAAAGGCCGAGCAGTTTCTCATGAGCCTTGCTCATGGGAGACGGTTACGCTTACACATTTGAATGTAACAATGTCAACCACCGCATGAAAGGCAAGGACGAACTGCCACTTGCATTCTCACGACGTATGAAAATAATCGAATCCGGAGAAGAGACACATAGGAAGGAAAACAACTCACCGACTACCAGAAATAGGCTTTCGCGTTCTACCTACCTTTCTCACTTTTTCCACCGAAGAAACCGAATTTTGGAAGCTCCCAGTCAAAGACCCTTCATTGAGCTAGGTGTGGTCCGTGCTCCCGCCTACCTTATGATTGGGCGCGCATTTGAGTTTCCTCCCATCTACCTAGGTAAGTTTGGATAGCCTTGTCCGACGCCACTTTTCGTCCTTTCGCGACACGCCTGGGCGCTTTCCCACGATTGCCTGGTGTCACTTGCGCCTGCCATCACTCACGACGTGAACCACCGCTTCTTGACGCGCCGAAAGAGAACCGAACTCACTCATTGCCTACAACTTCATCGACGGCAGTTTGCACTCCGTGCAGCCCGAATGACTTGCTGAACGACGCGTCTCGGAAGAGACACCACCTGGCGCGGTAATCCTCGATCGTCAAGATGCCTACCGCTCTGCATCCCCAGGCGAAGTTCGATCCGATCTCGCCGGACCTGGATCTCCATAGCCTTGTCGACAAGACGCCCAACTTTGAATGGGTACTCCGAATCTCGACGGCACAGATCCAAGGCCTGGGTCCCCAAGAGTTTGAGAAGTTGGTGCAACTTCAGGTCATTCAGGGTGGAAAACCTTTAGTTATTGAAAAATGGAACGATGTTCTCCCTAAATGGCTTTTCGGCAGCGAATGGCTTGAGAAGACCTACGACAAGAAACGTCAGTCTATACGCCTCCGTACGACATCGGGTGCTAACGCGTTTGCAGAGGAAAATGTCCGTGATATTGGCAGCCAAAGCGAGATTCCGATGACCATGGGGCACTACCTGAGAGCGATGAAGCAGCTCACGAATCAGTGGACGCCGAACAACTTCCGCGACGAGCGACGCCAGCGACTTTACCTCAAAGATATCGACTGCCCACCCGAGTGGCACGAGCACCTTCAGAAGGTGATTCCTCCGAACCTGTTTTACATGAACGAAAACATCACAGAGAAGGGAGGGTCGGATAATCGGGTCAGCGATGTCTTTCGTGGCTTGGGCGAGAAGACGATCGCTTCTGCCGGAGATCTGATGTCAAGCCTGCCGGAAGAAATGCGGGCTCAGAACCTCATGTGCTACATCGGCCACGAGGGAACGTACACTCCAGCGCATCGCGAGATGTGCGCAAGTTTGGGACAAAACATCATGGTGGAGGCGTCAGGAAGTGAGAACGGAGAGAAGCCAGGCAGCTCCATTTGGTTCATGACGGAAACCAAAGATCGAGAAGTTGTCCGCGAATACTTTCTCTCTATGTTGGGACATGACATTGAGATTGAGAAGCACTTCGCACAGATCAACGCCTGGAAGAAGGCGACCTTCCCAGTCTACATCGTCGAGCAGAAGCCCGGCGACTTCATCCTCATCCCACCCCTGGCACCTCATCAAGTCTGGAACAGAGGTACACGTACCATGAAAGTCGCCTGGAACCGGACGACAGTTGAGACGCTGGATATGGCACTCCACGAAGCTCTTCCCAAGGCTCGTCTAGTCTGCCGTGATGAGCAGTACAAAAACAAGGCGATAATCTACTATACCCTGAAGAAGTATTACGCGCAGATGTTGCAGGCGGAAGATAACAGCGAGATGGGTATCCTTGGACTAGGCTCTGAACTCTTCCGCTCATCTTCACGGTTCAAGCAGCTCGCCAAGGATTTCCGACATCTGTTCTCCCTTTTCACCGAGATCCTTGTCGACGAGATGTTCGCAACCAAGGAAAACAACATCGAGTTCGTCGAGTATGATTCATGCGTCACCTGCTCATATTGCAGATCAAACATTTTCAACAGATTTTTAACCTGCAAGCATTGCGTGCGAACTCTCGTTAATGGCGATGAGGATGCATACGATGTTTGCATGGAATGCTATGCCATGGGACGATCTTGCCTCTGCATCTCCAAGCTGCAGTGGTGTGAGCAGTGGAAATGGTCGGAGCTCACTGAGAACTATGAGCTCTGGCGCTTAATGGTCATAAAAAATGATGGCTTCGTTGACATGGAGCTGTCTCCGCAACCTCTCGAGATCGCCCGCAGCCGACGTGGCAAGAAAGCTCTCGCCCAGATTTGCCAGGAGGGCTTGCGTCGACGACCATTCAAGGACATTTCCAAGATCGAGGAGGAGAAGCGTCTGTCCGAGTCCGACGACGAGCCGGATCTCGATGACAACGGAAAGCCGAAGAAGAAGAAGTATAAGCGAAAGAAGAAGCAGGGAGACCTTCGCCGTTGCCACGTCTGTTGTCACAAGGACTACGCCTACAAGGTCCAGATGTGCTCCAATCCAGAGTGCAAGGAAGGATTCTGTTACGGAGTTCTCTACCGCGCCTTCGACATGATGCCCCAAACGGTGCAAGAGAACGAGAACTGGCTCTGCCCCAGATGCTTGGGCATTTGCAACTGTGGCGCGTGCCGTCGTGCCGGGACGACCAAGCCGTACACGCCAAAGAACACTCTCCTCGGCCATGACACACGGCCAATCGCTGACGACCGAAGCGTTGAAGCGCTTGTCGATTTCCGCGTGCATAACTTGAACTGGCTGAAGGCGTCAGGCGAAGAGGGCCGAAGTACGAACAGTAAGCGCATGAAGCAATTACGAGAACAAGCCGACACTGCCAAAGCCCAGGAGCCGGCGGCTGCTGCCGCCGAGGATATTGCGAACGGCGCCAATTCAGCGTCGAACGGTGCGAATGGCTATGGAGATCAGAGCCATATCCTCGACGGACACGACATGCAGCAACCTAATGGTGAAATCGGCTTTAACGGCGATCTCGATATGTCTCAGCAACATGAACAGTCCGTACCGTCCGCCGACATGGGTATGAACGGTAACTGGGACCAGTCGGCTTACCCAGACCCCATGGGAATGGGCGGTCAACGCATGCTTGGAATGGGTTATTACGAGCCATCCGGGCCTGATCAGATTCTGTTTGATCCGTTTCAAATGCCTTCAGCCGACGCTATGGTCTTTGATGAGGAGGCTGAATTCCTCAAGAAGACCCTTAAAGCTGCCAAGAGGAAAGCGAAGCACGAGAACGATCTTGATCCGGACTTCAATGCGCCACGCAGTCACCACAGAAAGAAGCCGAAGAAGGACAACGTAACAGACGAGTCTGCCATGGACCCTGCGTTGTTCGGATCCGCCGTTCCTGATGTCGCTCCCGCAGTCGCCAGCGGTGAGTCCGGCGAGGCAGGTGAAGGCGGCATGGCTGTCGACGACGATCCGTCGGCTCAGCTGGAGAGAGAGGCGCAACAGGACATAGAGGGTCCACAGCGCTGGAAGGGTGGATGGGCTACGCCTTGGCCTCCGTCCTTCCCTGCGAACGTTCCAGAACTACGACATGCAAGACCTAAGGTGTCATACGCCGAAGTTGAGGAGCCCGTCATTGACGACCCGGAGGACATGGTCCCTGCTTACAAAGCTAAGCCTCTGGTCGAAAATGATGAGCCGCAACCTGGCGACAGTAGCACTGATCCTCTGGATCTTGCGTCAGATGCCATTCGCGCCCTCATCCAGAAGGGAACCGATGCTGCTGCCGCGGCTGCTACCGAAACGCCGAAGGTGCCTAAAAGACGTGGGAGGCCGCCAAGGGATGCAAGCTCAACTCCGGCCTCGGCTACGAGAGCGGCTGCTGTACCGAAGCAATCTGCATCAGACGTTGCAGCCAAGAGACGGGAGGAGCGCGCTTCTCGGAGATCAAGGCTTAGTGGTGTTGTCACCATTGATGGAGCTAGCTCATTCAACCCCCGAAACAGCATGTACGCTGAGGACGATGATGATGAGCCTGGAGGACACGATGTCACCGAGGCTGAGCTGGAGGCCGATTTGGAACGGGAGCTGGCTGGCGGGGACACCCCTCAGCAATCTGTCACGAAATCCATCGAGGCAGGTGCGAGCGCACAGCCAGTCAAGAAAAGGCGTGGCCGGCCACCCAAGAATAAGACCACTGCCCCGGTTGCTGTGGAGGATGACAGCGATAAGTCCCCTCCACCTCCTCCGGCTGGCGCAAGTCAGATGATGTCCATGGCGGCCCGCGTCAGAGCTCGCGGCAAGAAGTTCAGGATCACCTCTCGCAGAGATAGCGCCAAGGGCACACCTTCCGCTACACCGGCCCCGTCAGAGAGACCAGCTGGTGAGCAGAGCAATCAGCCGACGCCGAATCGAACGATAGAGAGTGCGCATGTTCCATCTGAGGGTCTGTCTGAGCCTCAAGAAGTCGCTGTGCCAGCCAGAGAAATGTCAAAGGAGCCGACTCCAGACATGACGCCGCCGCCGCCGCCGCCGGGCAACTCAGCTAGAGATGCGTCCAAGGAGCCAAGTCCAGATATGACGCCTCCCCCGCCAGGCAGAACGAGGAGGGATTCTACGCCTGACCTGACCCCTCCCCCTCCAGGCAGAGCGAGAAGAGATTCGACTCCCGATATCACGCCGCCCCCTCCAAACACGACGGGCAGACGGTGGCAAAAAGATGACGAGAATGACGGAGACTTCGCCGCTCCAGGAGGCTCACCGTCTTCCGCATCTTCCTCCGACTCCGGTATTCCAGGTGCGAGCCCGAGTCCTCCACGGCCGCGACGAGGCAGACCTTCCAATGGACCAACAGTTGTCAAACTTGGCGGGGCCGACTCAGAGTCGGAGAGCGAGATTTCTTCGTCGTCTGAATCCGAGAGCGGTATCGGTTCTCCTGGCTATTCACGAGGTTCTTTGACGGGCAGGGGAGGTGGAAGGGGTCGTGGTCGAGGCCGCCCCCGTGGGCGCCCCCGTGGACGTGGACGCGGTGGCTGAGCTGTCCAACGGACAGCATTGGGCTGGATTTTCTTTCCAATAGATGAAGGGATCAGAACGGGCGTTTGGGCTCAAGGTTTTGGCAGTTTGTATCGTATCATACCCACAACCAGTGAAATTTAGTAAAGACGCAGGCAATCAACATTGTGCCTTTTAGTCACTGCAACTACTTTCTGCAGGTTCTCAGTGATGCCACCACATACGATAAACTTGGGGCAGTATTCGTCGTAAAGGTATCATCTATTCAGCCTCATCTGGTTGCTGTATTACTCAAAAGCGAAATCACGCCACTGAGAGCAGTTCCATCTTCATTTCTCTTTTCTCCTCCCTGGAAGCAGATCTCGTCGTCTGCGCATTTTAACCCATGCTAAATGTACAAAAAAACAAAAACAACGCGTCAAATGCATGCTGCGTTGAGCCGCCATTCTACTCTGCCGAGGCCCTGGCAAGAGCCTCGTGCAGGTGGGGTGGGAAGCGGTAGCGCAGCTGGCTGGTGTAGGTGGTCAGGTCGAGCGTCATCTGCCTCATCTGCTCGACCATCATGCGGCGGGTACCCTCGTTGCCGCTGAACTGGCCGCCGGTCAGCTGGTCGCGCTGGCGGGTGCAGCAGATGATGGTCCACATGAGCAGGTTGGGGACGTTGATGGAGACGGGCTGGGATAGGCCCGAGAACTTTGAGGCGTAGGCGCGGATGATGCTTGGGTCGCCGCTGGCGTTCAAGGGGAGGATCTCCAGGGAGCGGATTTTCTAGTAGCAGATGTTAGTCTGGGGGTTTCGCGAGGAGACGAGTTTGTTACTTACGTCAAGACACTGAGCCCACTGGCCGGCTTCGACGAGAGACTTGATGGTGCTCATCTCCAACAGGACGCGGCAGGCGACCTTGTTCTGGTCTTGGATCTTCCGATGGAACATGGCATCGCGCTCGTACATGGACATCATGGTACGCGCTAGCTCGACGGGGTCGTCGATGGACGCCAGGCTGAGGCTGCTGCCGGCTGCGGCCTCCTGGCCAGCGGCACGGGGCTTGACGGGCATCAGGCGCATGGGGTCCTCACCAATCTCGAGAGAGATGGCCTCGCTCAGGGCGCGGCTGACAATGGATACGACGGTGTCGTACTCGCCAGCCAAGTGGTACAAGAGGACGGAGTCGGTGGTACGGCCGTTCTCGTCAGCGAAGCTAGCTGCCTGTACGGTGACGGTGTTGATGAAGTCGTTCTCCTCCGTCAGACCAATAAGCGGGCCACGCTCCTCGATGATGCCGCGAATCCGCTGGCCGTCGGGCCGAATGTCGCCAATGAGCTTGCTAAACTCTCTTGTCTCGAGGACGAGCTCGCGGAGGGCCTCCCAGCAGAGGTTGGCGTGGCGGCGACCAGCCTCGCCTGCCAGGTCCATGTTGAGGCAGATGAGAGTCAGATAGTCCACTGCGGAAACAACGTCGGCGGCACGGAAGTCCCTAGTGTAGTATCCAATCATTCTGCCAAAGTTGATCTGGACCAGGTCCTTGACGTTCAGGCTGCGCAGGTCGTTCGAAGCGCTGAACGGATCGGAAGGCCGGAGCAGACCGTAGTATTCGAGGGCGATGGCGAAGTGAACGGCATCAACGTACGAAAAGGGATAGAGGTAGGCAATGGCCTCCTCGAACATGCCGGAGAGAACCTGCAGGTAGAAGAACATGCCAAAACTGCCGCTGTTGTCTTCAGACGAGGACTTGGGGAAGTGCTTAGCACCAATCTCCTTGATGCTCGACTGCAATTCGGAGAGACCGTACGCCTCACTGGCAACCTCAACTGAGCGGTCGCCTTCTCTAGCAAGGTTGAACTGAAGCCAGATCCAGTCATTGATGTCGGTGTTGAGTCCGTCAAGGCTGCGGTTATTCAAATCGCAACGACCGATGATCTTGTAACAAGCCATGCGGAAGGGATCGATAGAGTTATCGGGAGCATTACGAACTCTTTGAGTGTACTCAGCGTTGCACCTGTCCTGCAGCGTCCTCTTAAGTCTACGGTCTTCGTTGGATGCGTAGCCGTTGAGATAACTCTGGAATGTCCGGTCGATGCTGCGGAATTGGTTGCCGTTATCATTAACGTACTTGGCCGCTTCGCTAACGTTACCAGACCGCAGCAGGTAGAAGACGATTGCCCAGACGTATTCTCCACCGACTTGCTGAAGTTCCGTGTTGTCAGGCACCAGATCCTTTCTAGCTGACCGCAGGCGGATATACGCTCTGATCTTGCTGACGATATCGGGACGACCGCCGAGGTTGGCCTCATGGGGATGTTTTGAAATAAGACCTTCAACTTCCTGCAAGAACTGCTTCTCCAAGAACTTATTGGCACCCTCGAGTAGCCGCTTCCGCATGGCTATCGAGTTGGAAGAGTTGGGGGACTCGTCCAAGTACATCTTGGCAAATTGTCTCTCCTTGGCCGTGGCACCATTGATGGTGGTCTCGGCTTCAGGATCCTCACCGACAATCTCTCTAACGGCATGGTATGCCTCGACAATATGCGGGGCGTACGGGTCGAGAGAGCGCTGCTCAACGTCTGCGAGCTCTGAAAGAATGGGGTAAGGGTGGTTGATAAGGCGAGCTGAGTTGAGGCTGCGAACCTTCTCGGAAAGCTTGCTCTGCTTCTCGCGCAGAGACCTGTCGTCAGTGTTGATGTGGCCGGTCAGAGATCCGCCGTTATCGGTAGAGCGGTCAACATCGGAGAACTCGGGCTGATGCGTGCCGATCTTGCTGGCGTTGCCAATGACAGAACGGTGCATGCTGGACTTGCCCAGGACACTGGCTCTACCGGAGCGAGCGCCAGCCGCCTGGCTCTTGGTGCGGCGCGAGCGACCAAAGCCGCCGGTTGACTCCCTCATAGACGCCGCGCCTCCAAACGATGGCTCCTCGCGAGGCTTGATTCCAAAGTGTTCGTAGATACGCTTGCGCTGGTTCTCCCACTCCATCGTCACGTTGTCCTCCAGAAAGTTATCAAAATCGCGAACGGATCTCTCGAGACCGTCGGCAATCATGCTCATCGTAGTCTTCGTTTGGAGGTTCGCGAGGTAAGTCTCGACGTCGATCTCGGCGGGCGAGTAGCCAGTCGGTCTCTCAACACGACCGGTCTGAAGGTCGAGGGATCCGAGGTCCCTGGCAGCCGTTCCGGGGTCGACACCAGACGCGGCGAGGAGGTAGTGTGCTCTGCCATCGGAAGGGCGCTCCTGGGCCTTGGTTCCCAGCTTCTTCAGGCGCTGGCGCAGGTCACCCAGGCCGAGCTGCAAACTGGGGAGGTCCTCGACGCCGCTCTCGCCATCTCCCTGCCTCTTGCTCTTTGCAAAAAGGCTGTCGAAGTATGCGCCAGAGGTCTGGCCCTGCTGGGCTTGCGATTGGTTATTCGTGTTCTGGTTCTGCTGTTGCTGTCCCTGCTGAGGGAAGAGAGAGCTGGCAAGGGGATTGGTAGTAGTCTGGCCGAGTGTCGTGCCGGCCTGCGTTTGATTCTGGTTGCCGCCGAGACCACCACCGAAGAGGGACGGCTTCTGCGCTGTCGATGCCCCGAGACCTCCCAAGCCGCCCAAGCTGAGGCCGCCCATTTGTTGCTGTTGTCCTTGTTGTTGTTGTTGTTGCGCAGGCTGGCCGAACAGAGAAGACTGCTGCTGCGCCGGTTGTTGTGTCGTCGAGGCGCCAAAGAGTCCACCGCTGGTCTGAGGCTTGTTCTGATTCAAGTTGCCAAAGAGCCCACCGGATGCAGGCGTCGTGCTCGCGGGCTGGGCACCGGGTGTTGCTTGTCCAAAAAGACCTCCGCCGGTCGTCGCTCCCTGCTGGGGAGTGCTGGTCGAGCCGCCCAGGATGCCGCCACCCAAGGGCTTGTTGCCAAAGAGCGACATGGTGATATCGTGAGCGCGTCAAGTCGGATTCGGATTGAGCGCTGCGATGGGGCGTGAGAGTGAAAGTAGCGAAGATGGTGGACGCGATCCGATGGTGACCAGGCGCGTTTGGGGATGGAAATTTTGAGGTTTGGGAGAGCTCTCAGCAACAGCTCCACTGATTGGTGGGGAGCGACCAGGCAACGGACACCGTTCTAGGTTCCGAGTACAAGCGTCTGCGGCATCGCAAACAGCGAATGAAGGTAGACGCTACTTGATGCTTGCAGACCCATCTGGGGCACTCACCGAGAAGCAGCGTCGGTGAGACGTTGACTTACAACGCTGGCTTTGTGTGCCATTCACATAGCGATTGCTCCATATGAGCGAAAAGATTCCCGTTCTATATTCTTTACCATTAAACTGGGCATTCATTGACAAAGATTACGAGTGTCTTCTTTTCAGGCTTCGACCAGTCGCTGCAATAAGTTGAATACTTACTGTCACAGGTTGCCGATTTGTTGGCCGACTTCCTATCAGGACCAAGTACAAATCAATGTTCACAGAAGAATGGTTGGTTACCACGGACTACATGATTCAACGTGCAACACGATGCTCGATGGTATTTTCACTTATCACAAAACTCGAAAGCATTCTGCCTGGTGCGTCTTCGGTCCGCATCATTGTCTATTGTTGTATCGAAGAAACAATATCGTATTTACAGAGGGCAGTCTGCATGAACTATTCTGTTGCTCAGATTCTTACCGCAAACAGTTTGTTCTGTTTGCAAGATATGAAGGAAGTCTTTGACTGCGACTTCACCTGCCTCTCGCTTCGAGGCTTTGACACGCTGGAAGAAATAATCTCCATAGTAGCACCAAACGGTCCAGAACCACCCCTGAGAAGCATTCAGAAACGGAAGCCTTTGGACACTACGTAATCTATAATCATACAGATGCAGAATACCCAGGAAATGCCATCAGTCCTTGAAGATCACTCTGTTGACCACCGTGAATAGCCTGCCTCGCCGCTGAAAGACCTGCATCCCGACGGTGATGAGACGGTGATGATGCCCCCTATCATCTTAGACAGTTGGATACTCTCCAACTACAGTGTATTCCCCCAAACGGATACTTCATTGCCTTTACGAGCCATGCCAAAAATGGAGGTACATGGAATTGCAGACGAGGCCCATGAGCGATCCGTTTATTCTCAACTCTGTCCTGACCCTCGAACATAGCAGTCAAGATCAACTCAATCTGATCACGATCATCACACCACATCTAGGAAGATACCAGAATAGACTGAAGTTTGGATCTCCGACGGATCTCGGCCTTCCTTCGCCCTTCGGAGACGAGCCGTGCTGTACACCTCAACCCGCTCCCCTGAAATTCGCACCGAAAAGGAGCCGCCGCAATCATCATACCACAGGATCCATCATCGCCACCCCTGGATCTGCTCTTTCCCCCATCATCCTTACTCAAGATAGCCCGCCGTTGGGGAAAATTATTCCCGCCAGCCTCAATTCAACTCGTACATCTCGTGACCTCCCGGTCCGACCTCGAACAGCCTAATCATACACCCACACACCCCGTTGACCTGGAATCTTTCCATCAAACTCCTGCAGAGCCTCACCGGAGATCCATACAGTACAATCTCGCAGTATTTATCGCTGAACCAAACCTTCCGTCTCCTGATCCGCCGGCCCGACTGCAGAGCCTCATCTCTCGGCGCCTCTGCCATGCCGATAGTTGAACACGACCTCACAGATCCACGGCCAAACAAGCATCTGGTTCCTCGGCCCGTACAAACATCCCACGTCAAGTGTGACAAACCACCCGACATGTCAAAACCACAACGTCGGTCCTGCCAATCACGCCACCCCCTAACCCACGGAACGGGAACCGAAGCAACCTGCCATGTCTGCGCCGCTAGTGCACCAGAGCGGAGCCCTTCAGTCTGTCATCACCTGTCAGCGCCGAGCCCATTGTTGCAAGTGATGCCTGTTAGTCAGGCCAGTCGTGCCTTGTTACATGCATCTTCTGACGACGTCATTCACATCTGGCAGCTGCTGCACCTGGCTAGATTATCAGATATGATAGACTTCTTTTGATCTACGTTGCTAGCTAAAGGCCGATTCAGGCTCTAGTGTGTTGTGTTGTGTGTATGAATGTTTGTTTCTGACAAAGCTATTGCAAATAGTAGCAGTAAGGAGCCGCGAGGCTTCCTTGTATCGTTGTGCGTCATATGGGTATCTTTTTTTGACCTCTGTGCTGTGAGACGGTCTTCTTCGATTCCCAAACGCCTTGCAAATGCTTCGACCCTTCCACTAACAATGTCGAGAAGTCCGTGTGCTGAAAGACAATGATCTGCAGGAACCGTTTCTATCCCACACTCCCAAGCAAAAAAAACATCATAGTCGTAGTTGAGTTGACCTCGAACTCCACAAACGCCCCAACGAAACATTACCCATTATTGTTGTACAAGTGTCGTCGTAATATAATACAGTTCAGAGTGCCCTGTTCTCTGAGTTCAGGCAGCGCGGTCGACGGTGCGCTGCGGGCGGTAGTTGGGAATTTCGGAGAATGTCGACTTGTCCGCGCTGTAGCGGTATGCGTGGAAATCGTATCCGTAAGGCTTGGGCTCAATCGAGTACAGCATACCCAAGGGAACATCCAAGTCCGCAATCTCGTTGCGGGTAAGATCCATGAAGTAGGCCATGAGAACTCGGCAGACCGAGCGGTGGCCGATGATAAGGACGTGGTCCTCGATGCGCTCGATTTCGCGCACCATGTCGCGAAGGCGGGCGATGACTTGGAGGTATCCCTCACCTCCAACACCCGGATAAGTGTAGTGAAGCTTGTCCTCAGCGCGCTTCTTGTACTCGCCGGGGAATCTCCTGGCAATCTCTTCGTACGTCATGCCCTCAAAAAGGCCTGCGTTAAGCTCGTTCAACATTGCCCAGTTCTTTACGTCGTAGTCGTCATCAGCATCAAAATGCTCCGCTGTCTGGACGCTACGCTTCAACATTGACGTCCACACACAAAAGTTCTTCTCCTCCAGCTCGCGGTTGAGCTCAGGGTACGGCGGCGTATGGTCACCAGCCTTCGGCGGGAACGACGATTGGGCGATTTTGTCCTTCTGCTCAATGAGCCACTCCTTGCGCTTCTGTGTAATGAAGTCATGGAGGGCCTTGCCATATCGCTCTCCATCGGGAGTTAGATCCGAATCTCCGCCGAGCTTTCCGAGGCGGTTGTCAACGCTTTGTCCGTGCCGGGTGAGCCAGATCTGCCGCGGCGCCAGGTTGAAAGTTGTCAGGTATGAGCTGATTCCGCCGCTCAAGAACCCGCGCAGTCTGTATTGGACGAGCTTACGACCGACATCAATCATCTGCAGCCGGGGTTAGTGATTGACGCGATGTTGTAGATGGGTGTGCACGTACCTGAATGTATTGCATGTCATGCTTCTCCTCATAGTCTCCGATGGGTACGTAGGCACTCTCATAAGCCGCAACACGCTTCTTAAAATCCGCGAGGGACTGGTGAGGATCCTTGTCCTTGTAATCGGGGCCCGAAAGCTTCAGGCGCATGTTTGCCTCCAAAAGCTGCATTACTGTTAGATGACTTCAAACAAGGGGAATAATGCGCGTCTCTACTCACGTTCTGGTCGTGGCAGATGCTCTCGATGAAGAGAATACCCAGCTTGGGCTCCCTCTCCTTAATCCGATCGACCAAGAGCTGTCGGCGGTGAATTGTGCTGTTGGTCGCATCGAGGATGCCCACAGAGCCTCCCTGGTGAAGGAGATAGTCCAGCAGCTCGTCCAAAGTATCCAAGGCAACCTGCTCGCGGATCTTGGATGCAGTCTCGTTGGTCGGCTCGAAGAACCTGGCGGACTGATCCATAGTGTCGGCGTCGGGTGTGTTGAGGTTCAGCTCAGTGGGCTCCTTGTTGCCCTGCGCAGGGAAGCCGTTCAATAGGATCGAGGCAGCTTGTGTCGGGGGATCAAATTTGAGTGGCGAGGGGGGCCATGGCGACTTCAACGGCGACTTCATCGGCGAGGAAACGCCAGCAGCTACACGTCTTCTGTTTCCAACATTGAAGATGCGCGAGTCGTACTGCTGCCATGAAAGGTATCTTTGCACCTTCTTGGTGATGTATGATTTTCCTCTCGCAGGCAGTCCGACCATGATAATGACTAGCTTCGCGGCAACGTCTCTGTCGCTGATCTTTCCATCGGGCGAGGCCCTCGACACGGTCATGCCGGGTACATTCAGTGTGGCTGGGTGCGGGCGAAGTCGTGGGGTGGTTCCTCCAGAATTTTGTCTTACAGGCGGGCTGTTCAAGTAGCAAAAGTTAGCTAAACTATGCAATACCAAGCTATGAAGGCGCCAACTCTACGACCAGCTTTCTTGAGGTGGCACAGAGAAATCTAGATGTACACATACATTCTAGGCGAGTTTGGGGCGGTTGAGACGACGCTTCGCATGGCTGGAGGGGTGTCGGAGGAGGCGATGAGGGATCGGTCGCGCAGGGCAATGGGCCCGCTGAGGTCGTTCATGGATCTCAGAGCATGCGCCATGGCGGGGGGAGGCAGCAGCGCATCGTGGAGGTGAGGATGGGAAACGGGCGGTGGTGGCAGTTCGCCGTTGGTAACCGCGATCGTGGGCGACCTGGTATTCGAATGGGTTGGGGGCGATGACGAAGGCGCGCGGGAATCCCTGGTGTTGGAGCTCATTGCCAGTTTCGCCAGAGCAGATTGCTTGGCCTGTATGAGACCAAGGTCTTTTTCCGAGGGAAACAAGAAATGTTAACGATTATATTCTGGACAAGAGCGATTTCTCCGAAAGGTCGGGTGGAAGGGAAGTTTTTTGGGGGTTGGACCTCTTGGGCAGGAAGCATGAAAGTTCAAGGAATCTACGAACCTGGACTGTATGGAAAGACCGCGGAAGGCATGGGGACGGATTTAGGGTGTGGAAGAGTCGGCGACTGGGTCTAAAAGGTGGAAGGAGTCACAGGGTGCCACT